CAGCCTGGCCACTCCGCAGCGCAGCGGCTGTTTAAGCTCTTGGCGTTTGCGCTTCCCCTTCCCAACCCAGCAGGACGACGACAGCTCGACGCTGGAGGCTTAGCTGGTGCTGTTGGCTGGCCCGACGGCGCGGGCAGCAGCTGCTGAAAAGGCCGCAGCAGGCAAGGACACTCACCTGTCATCTGTCTGACTACGTGAAGAATGATCTCTACCAGGGACAAGGGGTTCACCCTGCAACAAAAACCCACTGTCAGAACAGCCCCACTCAACAGCAGGTCACCCAAAAACCTCGGGGCAAACACTCACCTGTGCTCAAACTCGCTGATGAAGTTCTCGTAAAGCTGCGGGCACAAAGACAGCGACAGTCAGGGCCAAAGGGTCTCTCGTCTCAGCGACGACAGTCGCTCCTCCCTGCGCCCAGCTCATTCTCCCAACACAGCAGTGGGCATCCACTACAGAAATGCCTACGCTGCACAAAACCCAGGTGCCAAAAACTGCCCATTTTAGGCAATTCTATCTCTTCCCACCGCAAGGAGTGACTCAAGACACAGCACGAGGCCCCCTGCTGTGGGCTGCCCTGGTGCGTGTCCTCAGTCGTCGCTGTACGAGCACAGGCCTAAAGCTTCCCAATCGCTCTCGGCACGCATTTGGGGCAGAGACTGGCTCTAGAAACCCACAGCTCACTACCGTGGAGACAACCACCTGCTGGGAAACCAAGTTTTAGCCTAAAAACACAAGAAGGAACGTACACAACTACTTGTAGGATACAGAGAACATGTGACTCTGGACCGAGCAGGCCATTCAGAAACAGAATACGTCCCCAGTCAGTGGGTGAAATAACCCCCCCAACACTTGGAAGCGTTTGTGAACACCTGACAATCCATCCTATGCTTCCAGCTGCAAACCCCTCGTTACAAAAGGGAAAGAAAAACACTCCCCCTGTGCCCTCCAAAGTCTTAAGTGAATGAAAATAAAGAATCGTTTTGAAGCGTCTAAAATTGATGCATTTGATTTGAGCTGCATTTTCATGCACCAGCCAAATCCCACACACTCACACCCAGCGCATAAACCCCCAAAAACCAAATTCACCCAGTTTAATGACTCTCCAGAGACAAGCCACAGGCTGCTTATTTGCCACCAGTACAAAGACACAGTCGCTTGTCTTCACCACGGAAAGCCAAAACCCTGGGGAACAGCCACGCACGCACCTTGATGAGTCCATCTCCTTGGGCAAAGCAGGGGTCCTGAACAAAGTCCAAAACCTGCAGGGTCAGCTGGTGCCAGAGCCTTAAGAAAGAAGAGAGTCGGTCCGTGAGCTCACGCGTGACACCAGCCCCCCCAACTCGTGCCACGGCCTGTGCTTCCCACCCGGGGTCTGTGGAGGCCCCCGCGTCGACGGAGACAAACAAGAAGCGAACACCGGCGGCAGAGACACATTCCCCCCCGCCCC